GGCGCTCTTTATTCGCGAGCGCCGATGACCGATGATGCTCGCAACCCTCCCACACCCTTGCTGGCTTGGCAAGAGGACCAGACAAGCGCAACCACATGACCCGGCGGAAGAAAATTGCTTGGAAGGAGCTCTTCTACCCCCAAAACGTGGAAGGATCCACACATGTGCACGAAGTGCAGCGGGCGCTCTTCATTCGCGAGCGCCGATGACCGATGATGCTCGCAACACTCCCACGCCCTTGCTGGCTTGGCAAGAGGACCAGTCAAGCGCAGCCACGTGACTTGGCGGAAGAAAAACGCTTGGAATGAGCGCTTCTACCCCCAAAATGCTGAAGGATCCGCATTCGTGCAGGAAGTGCAGCGGGCGCTCTTCATTTGCGAGCGCCGATGACCGATGATGCTCGCAACCCTCCCACGCCCTTGCTGGCTTGGCAAGAGGACCAGACAAGCGCAGCCACGTGATCTGTTGGAAGAAAATCGCTCGGAACGAGCGCTAGTACCCCCAAAACGCGGAAGGATCCGCACATGTGCACGAAGTGCAGCGGGCGCTCTTTATTCGCGAGCGCCGATGACCGATGATGCTCGCAACCCTCCCACGCCCTTGCTAGCTTGGCAAGAGGAACAGACAAGCGCAGCCACGTGACCCGGCGGAAGAAAAACACTCTGAACGAGTGCTTTCACCCCCAAATTGTGGAAGGATCCGCACATGTGCACGAAGTGCAGCGGGCGCTCTTCGTTCGCGAGCGCCGATGATTGATGATGCTCGCAACCCTCCCACGCCCTTGCTGGCTTGGCAAGAGGACGAGACAAGCGCAACCGCGTGACTCAGCGGAAGAAAATCGCTTGGAATGAGCGCTTCTACCCCCAAAACACTGAAGGATCCGCATTCGTGCAGGAAAGTGCAGCGGGCGCTCTTCATTTGCGAGCGTCGATGACCGCTGATGCTCGCAACCCTCCCACGCCCTTGCTGGCTTGGCAAGAGGACCAGACAAGCACAGCCATAAGATCGGTTGGAAAACAATCGCTCGGAACGAGCGCTAGTACCCCCAAAACGCGGAAGGATCTGCACATGTGCACGAAGTGCAGCGGGCGCTCTTTATTCGCGAGCGCCGATGACCGATGATGCTCGCAACCCTCCCACGCCCCTGCTGGCTTGGCAAGAGGACCAGAGAACCGCAACCAAGTGACTTGGCGGAAGAAAAACGCTTGGAATGAGCGCTTTTACCCCCAAAATCCAGAAGGATCCGCATTCGTGCAGGAAGTGCAGCATGCGCTCTTTATTTGCGATCGCCGATGACCGATGATGCTCGCAACCCTCCCACGCCCTTCCTGGCTTGGCAAGAGGACCAGACAAGCGCAGCCACGTGATCTGTTGGAAGAAAATCGCTCGGAACGAGCGCTAGTACCCCCAAAACGCGGAAGGATCCGCACATGTGCACGAAGTGCAGCGGGCGCTCTTCATTCGTGAGCGCCGATGACCGATGATGCTCGCAACCCTCCCACGCCCTTGCTAGCTTGGCAAGAGGACCAGACAAGCGCAGCCACGTGACCCGGCGGAAGAAAAAACACTCGGAACGAGCGCTTTCATCCCCAAAACGCGGAAGGATCCGCACATGTGCACAAAGTGCAGCGGGCGCTCTTCATTTGCGAGCGCTGATGACCGATGATGCTCGCAACCCTCCCACGCCCTTGCTGGCTTGGCAAGAGGACCAGATAAGCGCAGCCACGTGACTTGGCGGAAGAAAAACGCTTGGAATGAGCGCTTCTACCCCCAAAATGCTGAAGGATCCGCATTCGTGCAGGAAAAGCAGCGGGCGCTCTTCATTTGCGAGCGCCGATGACCGATGATGCTCGCAACCCTCCCACGCTCTTGCTGGCTTGGCAAGAGGACCAGACAAGCACAGCCACGTGATCTGTTGGAAGAAAATCGCTCGGAACGAGCGCTAGTACCCCCAAAACGCGGAAGGATCCGCACATGTGCACGAAGTGCAGCGGGCGCTCTTTATTCGCGAGCGCCGATGACCGATGATGCTCGCAACCCTCCCACGCCCTTGCTGGCTTGGCAAGAGGACCAGACAAGCGCATCCACGTGACCAGGCGGAAGAATAACGCTTGGAACGAGCGCTTTCACCCCCAAAACGCGGAAGGATCCGCACATGTGCACGAAGTGCAGCGGGCGCTCTTCATTCGCGAGCGCCGATGATTGATGATGCTCGCAACCCTCCCACGCCCTTGGTGGCTTGGCAAGAGGACCAGACAAGCGCAACCACGTGACTCAGCGGAAGAAAATCGCTTGGAATGAGCGCTTCTACCCCCAAAACGCGGAAGGATCCGCACATGTGCACGAAGTGCAGCGGGTGCTCTTCATTCGCGAGCGCCGATGACCGATGATGCTCGCAACCCTCCCACGCTCTTGCTGGCTTGGCAAGAGGACCAGACAAGCGCAGGAAACGAGCTCATTCCAAGCGATTTTTCGACGCTCAGAATTTTTCGACATTCCTTACCGCGTTCTTCAACATCGCGTATAGCGGCACCCGTTGTTCGCCCCTTACTGCTAACGGGGCTTCGCAAACTTCGCACGCACAGTTTCACCAAACCATGTACCACTGGCCCGGCCAAGTTAGCCTACGCTTCAGGACTAGCCCGAACCTCAATGCCAGCCTGACACTAGCTAGCTCGCACGCACCGCGTTACCGTTTGCATGTTTCGCGTATAAGTATTCACTCATGTCTTCGTTCATACTTTGACACCTAGTGCAATCCATTATCTAGTTCCATTGCATTTGTAACAAATACCATACTGTATGTTCCAATGTGGTCTTATAGTGTTGTTTCCTAGTAATAACTGTTATTTGTTCTTGTACTAAATGCAAGTTTTCTTGTTGTTTTCTTTCTGCAAGTTTTCTAGTTTTCTTGTTATTTGTTGTTTTCTTTTCTTTGTTTTTTTTTTTTTGAGTTTTCTTGTTTTCTTGTTGTTATTTTCTTGTTTTCTTGCAAGTTTTTTTTGTTTACTAAATACAGTTTGGTGCCCCAACCCGATTGCAGCGGTCCAACCAGGCACCTGAAGGTCTGCTGCACTGCGACAGCCAAGACAGCTGGACAGGAGTTTGTTTTGCTGAGTGGGGGTCTAGTGCCAACCAAGGAGCCATCGTGAAGATTGTCGGCTATGTTTGTGGAAATCCACACACAGTATCCCTTCTAGAATGGTCCTTCTGAACCAATATTTTGAATGTTCCGGGACCCTTTGTGAAAATGTCAGTCTCCCATCCCAGTCCCCCATTCCCAACCCCCCCCCCCCCCCCCCCTTTATTTTGGTGCTCTCCGATGCAGTGGAAAAGTGGGGAGTTCCCCTTTATTTTAGTGTCGACCCTTGACAGATTGTTTGTCTGGCAGGAGGGATTAAAAAACGCGGAGTTACTCATAAGCGAACGGTTGGTGACGGACAACCAGCCCAAGCAGACGACAGAATTGGACGATGACACCCATGCGACAAGTTGGGATGGTCGTGGGGGAAACAAAGCGTGTGAAGGTAGCGCAACCGGAGGGACTTGATTGGAGCCAGTGAAAGGAAGGACAACATGTGTGGGCAGTGGGAGTGGCCATTGGCCATTCGCGAAGGCTCCTTGTTTTGGGCAGAACATGTTACGTACGGGTAACGGACGGACAGTCGATCCAACCCAACCCAAGCGATGAACGACTTCAATGCGATTGGTCAGTCAGACAACCACGAAGAGTCGGATCAGCTGGCTGCTGCTTAACGATGTCGTCAAGTGTAACGCGCAGAACATCCAGCCAGGCCCTCCCACTAGCCTTCCCACAGATACCCCACCAGCCTTCCCCCACCAGCGCTTAGGGCTTGTAAGACCGTCGAATAAACGCATTAAACCGCTTCAAAACCATCTTGGTCTCTGAAAAGCAGACTATTTCCCCAAATTAAGTTCAGCGTGACAACTTGTACCACAACTCCCCTCACCCATCCAGCAGGACAAGACAAGGAGCGCAACACGCAAGACGCGAAGGAGGCAGACACCCTGATAAAGGCTGTTGTAAAGCAGCAGCACAACGACTTGGGAGCTAGGGTTTCACCTCCTCTCCGCAAATCAGCTTCATTCTGAAGTCAAGAGCTTGGACCACACTTGACATTTTCTCACCAACCTTCGGCAGCCAGGGTTGCTTGCAGCAGAACAAGACACGTTCGGTCTACAAGAGCTCTTCAGCCATGACTTCGGCTCTTGGACAGCAGATTGCTAGAGCAGACGAGACGCGGGATAACCTAGTCCTGTTCTGGCCGTCAAGCACCCGTCCAGCGCTTCCATAGCTGTATATTTCAGTTTCTCAGGTTTGTTTGAGAGGCTGCTGCGACGTTCTTGCGTAAAAGCAACGGCTGGAGGTCCAAGCTCATGCTTGGTTCGTGAGAAATTTAAGGTTCAACTTAATCGCTGGTTCGTAAGTTCTTTAGTAAGTGGAAGCTTTAGTTTCGTCGTGTAGTTTAGTAGAGGATATGGGGTGTCTTCCAGCTAGCCGGCAAGTTCGGATAGGTGGTAGATTACTTCGCACGGCTTCGCTTCGGTTACTCCTAGTGACGATCTCCATTTCCATTCCCTTGTCTCTTTCACGAGCGCAACTCGATGGCTCTGCATCTGATGTTTCCGGCTCAGTAACGTATCAACCATCGGCATTCGAGGCGTACATGCAAGAAAAATGGCGGAAAGAGCAGCTCCTTAAGAAGGACAACCCGGAAGAGTTCGCCGCTTACAATGCTCGCGAGCTCTCGAATCACATTCTCCGACGAAGCCTTGCCAGCGGTCCGGTCAGAAAGTCTGTCTTTCATAAGCATTCTGCTTCTCCCGAGGAACTTGAAGAAACTCGTATGGTTGGGAGGTTGCTAAGGGAAAATATACTCGGCGAGAAAGAAGCGGAGAGTTCCAAGTGGGGTCGAAAGCTGCAAGAGCTTTTGAAGCCAAGTTCGCCGAAGCGAAGGATTCTCGCGCAGCCAGCTTACATGGAGCTGTACGAAATGACGGATTTTCCCCAGCGAAGAAAGCTACAGGGTAACTCGGGGAAGGTCCAGGCGATTCAAGCGCCTGACTTGGGAGCACCTCCTGCTCGCGGCGACTTGAATATCACGTGGTTTCGATGGCAGAGCGTGTCGACGCCGACGCTCGTGGACTGGAGCATCACTCCGTACATGACGCCAATGTTGAACCAGCAGTTCGTACGTCTCCTCCTCTGTGTCTCTCTCAGTCTGCTGCTTGTAGTATTCTTACCGTCAGACTTGAGTCATCTTTGCTGGCCTAGAGATATCAAATCTGCGTTCTTGACAAACTGCCTCTTTGTGCATGCTCGCTGCACCTCTCGTGCTCATCCCCCGACCCCATCTCTTCCGTTCGTTTGTTTGGTTCGCCCTTCCCTTCCATTTCTCCCGTCCCTTCCATTTCTCCCTTCTCTTCCCTTCCTCCCCTTCCGTGCAGTGCGAGAGCTGTTGGGCGATGACGGCGACGGACCTGGTGAGCATCGTGTGGGCGCAGATCAACAACCAGACGGCGGAGCTGCTCTCCACGCAGCACGCCTGCGACTGCTCCTCGTCCGCGTGCTGCCGCGGCGGCTGGCCCGAGTGGGTCTTCCAGTTCATCATGGCCAACGGCGGGGTGGCTTCTAACGCGGATTATCCCTACGCGGGCATGATGAACTCGACGTGTGCGAGCGTCGCGAAGACGAAGCTCAAAGCGAAGGTGCGGGTTGGGTGGAGAGGGGGAGCGGGAGCGGGTGCGGAGCATTCATTATAGGGGACAAGGGTGGCTGCGGATGGGGGGGAGATTTGGGGGGGGGGGGGGGGGGGGGGGGGGGTGTGGAGGGGAGGAGAGGGGTCAGATGGTTTTTTTTACATTCACTTTTGCTTTTACTGCTGCCTTACGTCGACGCTTATCCTGCTCTTCGCTGTTATCTTTCTGTTAGTCTCCGCGTCCCCTCATCGTCCTCCCCGTTTTTTTGTCTCTACCTCTCGCTCTCTCCCTGTCTCCCCCCCCTCTCCCCCCCCCTCCCCCCTCTCTCTCCCTCCCTCTCTCTCTGTGTCTTCGCTCTCTCCGTTCATCATCGCGCAGATCAACGGGTGGGAGAAGGTGCCGGCGCGGAGCAACACGGCGCTGATGAAGGCCGTGGCGCAGCACCCCGTGCTCGTGTATATCGCCGGCAGCAGCAGCGACTTCATCGTACGCTCCTCTCCCGCTCTCTGTCTTTATCTCCCTCCTTCCCTCTCTTTCTCTCCTTCCCACCCTCTTTAACTCTCTCCGCCTCCCTGTCACTCACGCGCTTGTCTCGTCCCTCAACAACCCTTCGCCCCCCCCCTTTCCTCCCACAACCTTCCCCACTTCGTTTTCAATCGTGCGCTCTCATTTTCGTCTTTCGTTTCCCCAGAGTTCATGTTTCCATGTTTCCCTTCGTTTCCTCTCCTTTCAGCGTCGTCCATGCCTTCTTCCCCACTTCGTTCCTCCTCCCCCCATTCCCCCCATGCAAACTTCCCTCTCGTTCACGCTTCCACTCGCTGTCCCCCATGCATGGCAGAATTACTCGGGTGGGATTTTCTTCGGGCAGTGCAGCGGCGAAATCGACCACGCCGTGGTGGTCGTGGGTTACAGTCTCGTCGACCCTAATTCGCCGGTCTGGATCGTCAAAAACACCTGGGGACCCTCCTGGGGCGAAGGCGGTTACATGCGGCTGCCCATGCTCGCGGACGGGCCTGGAAAGTGTAATATGTTAAGCGAACGGGGGCTTTACCCTACCTTTTACGATAAGAACAAGGGATCTGCTCTATGCAAGCTGCCGATAAATCCATGCGGAGGCGGGACCTGTGTGGTGACTAACGGTGCTGCGCGGTGCAGTTGCCCGCCTGGATTTGTTGAGAGACTGGAGAACGACGCGCCTAAGTGCACGCTGGCTACACCGTGTGACGCGAATCCGAATCCGTGCGGTATCGGGACGTGCTATAACGAGTTCGACGGCAGCTACACTTGCTCGTGCCCCGCTGTAAGCTTTCCACCACTTTTCCTTATTCTGCTCCGATTCTCCGAAAATATGTCAATCCTTCAATTTTCTGTTGCAGCTATATTCAATACTAGTATTTTTCTGTGTGTGTGCAGGGCTCCGTGATTGGTTCGCGTGTTGACGGCAGCATGACTTGCGTGCTCGGCACGTTTCAATCGGGTCTCCAAACCTACACGACTCTGCTAGGCGACACCTGCCAAACCATCGCCAGCACGTTCGGATTCACCATAGACTTTCTCCAAGCCAAGAACCCGTTCCTCGACTGCTCCCAACCACTCACCCCGGGTTACGTCATCCTCGTCGGTTCGACAAACACCACTTTAGGCTGCTCCGCGATGGATATAGTCAGTCCTGGCGACACGTGTAGTACGCTTGCTACACGCAACAACATCACTGTACGCCAGCTGTTAGGGATCAACCCAACCCTCAACTGCAACGTGTCGCTGCAGCGCTCGCAGACGCTGTGCGTCGCGCCGGGCGCGCTTTCGTCCACGTCGCCGCTGATCCGTTCGTGCGGGCGAGTGTACAACGTGGGCCCGCAGGACCGATGCGTGGACATCGCCCGCGGATTCAACATCTCGCTCATAGATTTCGTCTGGTGCGTGCCATGTCATGCCATGCTATGCCATGCCGTGCCCCGGAACCCCCCAATATGTGAACCTTCCTCTTCGATTTTGCCTTGTAGAATCTGTGCCTCAGCAATGGAGCGTCGAACCCTGTTCTATCTCGGTTGCTTTCTGTTTTGCCAACATTTTCAGACTGAATTCGCTCGTCTCTCCTGAATCTTGTTCTGCCATCCATTTCCAGGCTGAATCCTGGGCTTCGGTGTGACGACAACCCAATCAATAACGCCATTGCAGTCTGCGTGGCTCCTCTCACCACTGAGGTACCTTCTCCCCTTCCCCCCTACTGTCCCACCTCTCGTCCTCTCTCAAACAACACCCGCTCCACCATCTTTCCTGCCCTTTCCTGCCTCTCCCCCCACTCCTCTCCTTCCACCCCATCACCCCCTTCCCTCCCTGCTTTCCACCTTCCGCTATTCCTGGAAACTGTACCTACGTTGCTTGCACTTAAAGCGTTGCCAATGCGCTCCCTGCTGCCACCTAACCTCCCACAGTTTGTCCTCAGACGTGTCATTTTTCTTCCTTCTCTCCCACTTCCCGCCCTCCCCTCTCCCCCCTTTCCCCCGCCCCCCACCTTCCCCCTTTTTCCCATGCTCTGCAGTTCGTCACAGTGGACTGCTCCTCGTGGTACGCAGTCACACAGGCGGACTCGTGTCCTCTCATGGCCAACTCGGCAGGTCTCACAGTCAGCCAGTTCCTCCGCCTCAACCCGGGCCTCAGGGTATGTCACGTCTTCCTTTTCTCTTCTCTCTCCTCCCTCTCTCCCCTTGCCATGACGCTATCGCCTCACCACTTTTTCTAAAACGCTTTTCTGTCATTTTCGAGTCTCTATGTGCATCAAGCCTTCTTTGTAATCCTCACCCCTAACTCCTTCCTTCCTTCCTTTCCCTTGCTGTTTCTCCTCTCTTCTGTCGTCCGTGCTCCCTGCTGCAGTGCTACCCGCCATACCTCCAGATCGGGCAGAAAGTCTGTGTGAACGGCACAACACAGTCCATGACCAAGTACCCGCTCTCCCCGAACGTCATCCCGTACTCTGTGGGGGTCAACGACACACTCGCGTCCATTTCAAAGCAGTACGCCTCCATGTGTCCCAACAACACCTTCCCTGCGGATATCTGCTCGTCCAACTCCCTCCCCGACTGCTCAGACCAATCCATCTCGCCCGGCCAAATGCTCCTCATCCCCTGCACGAGGAAGATCGCAGGGGACATCTGTGCCGCTTCCCTCCCCGTCTGCGGCTCGGATTTTGTCACGTACCAGTCGGTGTGCCATGCGGTGCTCAGCTTTGCGCTGCCGCTGGTGAGAACGGGCCCGTGCAACCTGTGCAACGAGGGGATCTGCCAGAACCGCACGGCCATCGATCCCGTTCCAAACACGTGCCCTGCACCGCCCGGCATGTGCCCGTTCCCAACCTGGCCGCTCACTCCGGACTATTTCTACTACTGCCCATGGGTGTTCAAATCCCAGTGTGACTGCTTGCTGGTGAGTTCAAATCCTTCCTCTCGCCCCTACCTTCCTCCCTCTCTTTCCAATCTCTCTCTGCCTGCTCTTCCCCAGCCTTCTCCCCATGTGGTCCCTCCTTCGTCCCAGTGTCCCATCGTTTTTTTCTGTACTTAAAGTCAATCTACCTCGATCAATCGCTCAACTCTGATTTTTTTTTTTTTTTTGGCCGCTGTTCCTGCAGTACACCTGTGATTATCTTTGTAACAGAACAGCGGCATACTACAAGTTCAGCCTGACCAGCAAGTACACCTTATACAGAAATGCGACAATGTTCAAGCCAGCATGCAACAACACATGTATGGGTGACTTGCGGACAGGCTGCTGAGATGCTGCCGCCCAACTGGCGGATTTTTCGGGCCCCCGAACCGCATCACAGGAGCGGCTTGCCAAGAGGATAACTTGTGCAGAACTCCCTTGTCGACCATCAGTCTACTACCTGTGGTAACAGTTTGAAGGACTCACCACGAAGCAGCTGCTGGAAACAATACATGACGGGTTTTCTGGCTTTGCTCCTGGATACTAATCTGATTCAATTATTAAATATATCTGTAGTTTTGTTTTGCATTCTTACTTAGTTGCAGAACTTTTTTTCTCTTTTACTTCATTGTTCGTGGGCGCGTATACTTGTACGGTAGAACATTCTCTGGCCACGCACCTCACATTCTTGTTCAACAGTTGCTCGGGTATGCCGAGTCTTGCTAGTGATGGTGACGCTGTTTCTCGCTTCGCAACTGTCCCGTCGGAATTATCGCTTACCCGCCATCGCCCAATATACTCTGCACCTTCGGCCCGACGTCGGGCACGTCATCGTTTCTCCCGCTGGAATCAGCGCGCTTTCCAGCTGTGCCCGTAAAACCTTCACTGAACCGAAGCTTCAACTTCCGTGGCAACCTACAGACCTAGAAATCTCCCGAACCGAGCCAGCGCCAAAAACTCCAAGCGCCTTTGTGTCACAGCGAACCTTGATACAGTCACACTGTCTCCCTGCAGCAACAATTCAGTCACGGACGTCACACAAGCCATTGATGTCCGAGCCTATGACCCCCTGCCAAACGTAGCCCAAACCGGCCGGCCCTCGGTTCCGAACCCCCATCCCAGACTCCCCGTCGGCTCCCGCTGGGTCTCTTCCACGTGTTTCCGCTTGTTGCTTTCGCGGCAACGTTGCTATGCCTGCTTTCTTCCGCGTGTTTCTCGGTGTTATCTTCAGGCGAATGTTTGCCGTGCTCTCCGCTCCTCTTGCTTTGAACTTGGCTATTCTTTGCGCTAGACGTCATTGTCGGTCGGGTTACTAATATTTTTTCCTAGCTTAGCTTTCGCGCCGTCAACGCTACTCCTGTTTGGTCGGACTAGACGTGAATGCCGGAGTCTTGAACACTCTTGGTGTATTTAGTTGCGCTTAGTAGTCCTTGGTGGGTAACCTGCACATTGGTTTCTTAGGAAGCAAGCAACCTTGTTCACTTTTGTTGCGTGTGCATCTAACCTAAGCTGAGCGAAGCAGTAATTTCGAATGACTTCAACAACAATAGACAGCAGCAGCACTGGCCCACAAAGCCGCCGCGACTTGCAACCCCATAACGCAGGCTTACCAGTTTCAACCAATCCACGTCAGCAGCAGGAGGTCGAATCGCAGTATACCGAAACTCGTACGGACGAGCCTGACGTGGAATACAGCTCCCAACAGGAGGTGGAATCGCAACCGTTGGTTAGGAGGCAAAGTAGTGAAAACAGCTGCGCCAGCGCCAGTCGAACGGGCAGAACCCGCGGTACCATTAGCACCACAAGCACGAGTGGCACGAGTGAAAGCGACACGATCCCCGGCAGCACAGGCACCAGCTGTACTGATAGCTGTACTGATGGAGAAGTTGTAATGAGCAGCCATGATAAGGTCTCACTTTCCGAGCCTGCGGCCGTTTACGAGCCTGAAAGTGTGTCGATTGGCGATCGCGACGCCAAGGAGTGTCGTATCTGTCAGGAAGAGGATGACGTGTCAAAGCTGGATGTCCCATGCGCGTGCTCCGGTAGTCTCAAGGTACTGTTGACTTCTTTGTCGACTGAGTTGGTAGACTGTTTGCCTTATTGTTTGCCTTATTGGTTGCCTTTTGATTGTTTGCCTTATTGTTTGCCTTTCTATGGGTTCTTGCCATCGCGTGTTCAAAGGCAACATTTCTGTCACCACTTAACGGCATCGGCATGATTGTCCTTTCTGCGCGCTCGTCTTTTGTGCGTGGATGCCCCTGTCCCCGTTATTGAGTCACTGCAGTATGCGCATCACGATTGCATCCAGAGGTGGTGCAACGAAAAGGGCAACACTCAGTGCGAAATCTGCCATCACGTAAGCTCTCCCTCTAAGATTTTTAGTATCTTGTTAGGCTTCCGTCCGTCTTAGTGCGCGTGGTGTGTACCATTTTTACCACTTCGTTTCACTCGTCTGCCATGCTGCTCACATTCCCGCGGCTTCAATGAATGCTTTCAGGTCGTTTCGTGGTTTGCTGCGTTCCCGTACACTCCCCTCCTCCCCCCCCCCCCCCCCCCTTTCCCCGTTCCCCCCCCCCGTCTACCCCTCTCTCCCCTCCCTCCCCCCACCCCCCCTCCTCTTTTTGATCTTGTTCTGTTTCCTATTCATGTTTCAAAAGCTGCCACATCCCGCTGCTCCTGTCCCCTTTTTCTTCACGAGCATGCTGACAGATCTGTCTCATAACCCCGTCCCTCGTCGTCCCGCCTCCTCGTTCCGCCCCCCCCCCCCCCCCCCCCCGTTCCGCCCCCCCCGTTCCGCCCCCCCCGTTCCGCCACCCCCCCTCTCCTCCCCGCGTTCCGGCCCCCCCCCCCCCCGTTTTGCCCCACCGTTCCGCCCCCTTCGTCTTGCTCCGCTGATCCCCCTCCAGCCGTTCAAAGAGGGCTACACCGCGCCGCCGCCGCCCGCGTCGCCGCCAACCACGCCGGGGCTCGTGGCGCTGCAGTTCCGCGACGGCTCGGGGCAGCTGAGCCACATCGTCACGTTCCGCGACGCGGTGACGGGCGAGGAGCTGCGCTTCGGCCTCGAGGACTTTGCCTCCGCGCCCGCGGCGCCGGAAATCCCGGAGCCGGCCACCGTCAGCTGCTTAAAGTCGCTCATTATCATCGTACGTTATTGTAACTATTTTTGCTCATACTGTTTTCATACGTGAAGGTGGTATGAGCTGCCCATTTCTCATCGAGCGTTCTTTTCGTTGTTAGCCGCTCGATTATAATCGTACGTTCACAATTTACCCCACTGCCCCGCCACGCGCGCAGGTGCTGTTGCTCATCTTCGCGCGCCACCTCTTCGCGCTCGTGCACGAGGCGAGCGGCTGTCGAGGCGCCTCACGCCTCGAGCACCCTCTTACCCAACATGCATCTATGCGTGCCTCTCTTTATGTGCCCCCCATGCGCGCAGGTGCTGTTGCTCATCTTCGCGCGACACTTCTTCGCGCTCGTGCTGGAGGCGAGTGGCGACGACGACGACGTTGACGAAGACTCTGCGGAGTTCACGGTATGGCTGTGCGACGCTGTGCGACAGTGTGCTGGGTGGTCTGTGCGACGGTGTGCTGGGTGGGCTGTGCGACGCTGTGCTGGGTGGGCTGTGCGACGCTGTGGTGTGTGGGCTGTGCGACGGTGTGCTGTGTGGGCTGTGCGACGCTGTGCTGTGTGAGCTGTGCGACGCTGTGCTGGGTGAGGGTGTGGGCTGTGCGACGGTATCCTACTGTGGTTCATTCTCGCGCTCGTTGCCCCCTTCGCGTGTCATTCTCCTCGCTCACTCTCCCCTCGCTCCCACCCACCCACTCTCTCCCCAACCTCACCCACCCACCCTCACTCTCTCACTCTCCCTTCTCATATCACTCCCGTCGCTCACTTTCTGATGCAGCTGCTCTGCGTTCCACTCCTGCCCTGCTTCATCCCCACCCTCTTTCCCCTCCTCATTTACCCCCTATCCCACCAACCCTTCCCCTCTTTCCCCTCTCGTTTCCTTCCCTGCCTCCCCCGTCCGCCCCCTCCTCCCCCCCGCCCCCTCTTCCCCCGCAGATTTTTCTGATGCAGCTGCTGGGTATTTTACTTCCCTGCTTCATCCTCGCACGTGCCCTTGCTGCCATTCACGAGCGCTACCGTCAGGTGGGTGGGGTTGGATGACGGTGGTTTGTGCAGTGGTGTGGTGCGGTGGTGATGGGGCAGTGGGTGTGGCGTGCCCTTGCTGCCATTCACGTGTGCTAGCGACGGGTCGGTGGGGCAGTGGGGAAGGGTGATGGGTTGCGATCGTGGGTGGGTGGGGGGTGGTGGGGAGAAAATGGGGGGGGGGGGGGTGGGGGGGAGAGGTTGGGGAGATGATGGGGTGGGGCAGTGGGGAAGAGGTGATGGGGTTGTGAAGTGTGGTCGTGGGGTGGGGGGAGGTTGGCAGTGGGAGAGGGTGGGAGAGAAGGGGGATGATGGGGCAGCGGGTGCGGAGCACTCTTGCTGCTTCTACGAGCGCCCTGCTAGGTGTGGGGGGCGAGGGTTGGTGGGACAGTGCCTGCAGTTTGGTTGTGAGGCGCCTCAAAACGAGGGTTGGAGGGATAGTGCGTGCAGTTAGTTCCTGAGCAGCATTTGAAGTAACCGAATGCATTTGTCTAATCTGGTCCTTCACCGTTCACCTTTCAATTTCCCAACCAAGCACCCTCTTTCCAATTGTCGTGTCTCTCCTAATTGGTACCCACCAATCCACTTTCTTAATGACTGTTCCCAACAGGAATATGCCGAAGCAGAAGCAGCCGAGGCTGCCACTCGGCTCTCTCTCCTCCTCCAATCCCGTTTCAACACGTCAGCATCACGCGCCAGATCAGGCGCTGGACCTGCTGACGTGGCACTCGATCTCGCCGTTTCACCAGACACAGGCACACCCCCCTCCTCTTCCTCCTCTTCCTCTGCTTCCTCCTCGGCTGCCTCCTCTCCAGCCTCCTCCCTACCCACCTCACCATCTGCTGCTAGACGATCTTTTTTTCAGGGTTTCAGGAGTGGATATTTCAGTACGCTGTTACACCACCAGCAGCGTCATCAGCAACAGGAGCAGCAGCAAGCACTGACAGTTTCTCTTTAGCGAGTGAAACTGGTCAAAGGCTGCTGCAAATCTGCTGCATGGTTGCTGCAAATTTGCTGCTGCATGGTTGCTGCAAGTCTGCTGCTGCGTGATTGCTGCAAGATCGCCACAAGACTGCTGGAAAACTGCTCTATATCCGTTGAACCACTGCATACCATACCGTTTACCAGACTGACTGTCCTGGCATGGCATGGCAGAGTCAGAATGCGTGGTGCTGATTACTGCAAGGATTGCAGTCAGTCAGAGTCTTATAGCTCAACAGCAGGTGTCGTATCTGCAGCTGCCTCAGCCACTAAAGGAGCTGTTGTTACGAGCCCAACAGCAGGCTCTTTTGAAAGTGCCAGCAGTTGCTGCACCTGCAGCATCAACACTTGCGGCATGAATAGCAGCTCTAATAGCTAAGGCGGTGTATGAAGATGCTTATATTGTTCGATAACAACTCCCCATAGCTCTCTTTTGAGACGTCTCAAAACAACTCCCCATAGCTCTCTTTTGAGACGTCTCAAAACAACTCCCCATAGCTCTCTTTTGAGACGTCTCAAAACAACTCCCCATAGCTCTCTGTTGAGACATCTCAAAACAACTCCCCATAGCTCTCTTTTGAGACGTCCCAAAAACAACTCCCCATAGCTCTCTTTTGAGACGTCTCAAAACAACTCCCCATAGCTCTCCAGTGTTGGGCTGAGATAGCCCCTTAGGATCTTTTCAGGGGAGAACTCTAGATAGAACAATTGTAATAGCGGAAGCTTTCAGTGAAGAAATTGTGAACCACCTTGCGCTAGTATGTGAGGGCAAAGTAGATTAATTATAACAGGAAAGTACAAGAATATATATGTCAAGAATAGTAGCCTTAGGGTTTGGGGTAGCGTGAGCGAGAGAAACAGGAAGGTGAGGTTCACTACAGCAAGGTTACAAGATATAGCAAAGAAAGGTGAGCACATTGGTGCACCACCACTGTAGCTACACTAGAACACACAGCAAGCAGGGTATATAACAAAACTTAACACACCCCCTTAACCTGCTTGCCGTGATAACTAGTACAGGTACACGTGGCGCAGCGGAAGAGGGTAGAGAGGTTAGGAAGGAGGAGGAGGTGAGAGGAGAGGAGAGGAGAGAAGAGGAGAGGAGGTGGGGGGCCAGGACCGGCGGACCCGCTTACGAACCTCCTTTTACAAAGGGGAGGTGAGAGAGGGAAGGGAGAGGAGGTGGGCTAGGCGGTCAGTGACAACTGTGGCTAGTAGACGCGTGACAGTAGGGTGCTGAGCACGAAACCGGTCAGACGCAGGGTCCGGAACGTCAGGCAAAGAGGACGCAGGAGGAGACGGCAGAGGAACAGGCTGCGGAACAGAGGAAGGACGACGGACTACGAGGTGTGCGCTGGGGACAGCCGGCGGACGCGAACGAGGAACACGAGGACCGGTACGACCAGGACGAGCAGGCGAGACAGGACGCGACGCAGGCTCACGACGCACAGCAGGACTACCAGTCAGCTCAGCGTAAGGAGAAGGAGCAGGCAGCGGCGAGCCAGTCTGTAACGGAAGACCAGTAGACGACGGAAGAGTAAGAACCTGACGAAGAACAGAGGCAGACGGCGGCAGAGACGACGGAGACGGCGGAGCGAAGAACAGTCGTGTCGGCGCAGCTGCACCAGAACCAGCAGCTCCAGCAGCTCCAGTGCCTCCAGCAGCTCCAGTACCTCCAGCAGCTCCAGTACCTCCAGCAGCTCCAGAAGCTCCAGGCCCAGAGCCGACACCTCGAGTCCCAGGGTCTCCAACCTCTGTGTCTCCAGCAGCAGCACCCCCAGAACCAGCACCTCCAGTCCCAGGGTCTCCAACCGCAGGGTCTCCAGCAGTAGCACCCCCAGAACCAGCACCTCCAGCTCCAGGGTCTCCAACCTCAGTGTCTCCAGCAGCAGCACCCCCAGAGCCAGCACCTCCAGTCCCAGGGTCTCCAGCCTCAGTGTCTCCAGCACGAGCCCCTCCAGAACCAGCAACTCCAGCACCTCCAGTAGACAAAGGACCAGCACGACTCCGAGCTCCAGCAGCGCGACGCTGACGGCGACCGTACCAGTCCTGCAGCTGCTGTGGGGTGAGAGGCACACGGGGACGAAGGCGGCCACTCCAAGGAGACCGCGCAACAGCAGACTCAGAACCCTCAGCGCCCGCACCCCCAACGGCTCCAGAACCTCCGGTGTCAGTACCCTCAGCACCAGTACCTCCAGCGACTCCAGAACCTCCAGCGCGAGCACCCTCAACAGCTCCAGGACCTCCAGCTCCAGCGCCACCAGGACTAGGCCCTCCAGCAGCTCCTGAACCTCCAGCGCCAGCACCCGCAGTAGCTCCAGAACCTCCAGCGTCAGTACCGCCAAGCTCAGCACCCCCAGACCCCTCACACGCAGGCTCAGCACCACCAGGCTCTACACCCTCAAGCTCCGCACCCTCAGGCTCAGTACCCCCAGACTCAGCACCCCCAGGCTCCGCACCCCCAGGCTCAGCACCCCGAGCAGGACCACTCGCAGGAGGACCTGAGTCACCAGTGACCTCAACCGGCGCAGTCAAGGGAGGAGGGTCTACCTGAGAAACACCTGAAGGAGCAGGACCGGGAGCGGGGAGGGGGTCTACCTGGGGAGCACCTGGAGCAAGGAAGAGCGGCGGGGGGGGGAGCGAGGCAGTGCGGTAGGGGAAGAGACGGTAAAAAGGAACCGACTCGTCGAACGTGACGTCCTGAGACGCAAAGACACGGCGCGAGGTGGGGTGGTAAAACTGCCAACCAGGCGCGTCAGGGACAAAGCCAAGGAAGACACAGGGAACAGCGCGGGCGGAGAGCTTGTCCGCGGTGGTATCGCGGACAAAGGCACGAGCACCCCAGACCCGGAAACGCGACGCATCGCCAACCTTCCCCGTCCACAGCAGTGTGGGCGAGGTCTCCGGCAAGGAGACACGGGGCCAGAGGTTGAGCTGATGCACGGCGTACCGGACCGCAAACGGCCACAGAAAATGGGGGGCAGCCGCATGGATCATGGAGGTACGGGCGACCTCCATGACTAAGCCAATGCGGCGCTCAGCAACCCCATTCTGCTGCGGAGAGGCCGGAAGCGTGAACGACTGGGTGATGCCGTGCTCCGCACAGTAGGCTGCCAAGAGGTCGGAGGAGAACTCACCACCTCTGTCAGAGTGCAGACGCAGGACAGGAAAGTCCGACCGGAACCGCTCGCGGAGCTGGAGACGAACAGCGCGGATCCAGGGGATCAAAACAGCAGGGACGTCCCCCTTGCTCTGCAAGGGGAAGACCGTGGTGTAACGCGTGTAGTCGTCGACGACCAGCAGGAAGTACCGCTCGCGGCCCTGTCCCTGGACGCGGGCTGGGCCCCACACGTCCAGGTGGAGCGTCTGCAGTGGAGCCTCTGTGGGAGGAAACGAGGAGGAGTGAGGAGCGGCGCGCTGCCGCCCCTCGACGCAAGGAATGCAGGGCGGCGCAGGCGAGGGAGGGAGGGCAGGCAGGGACCTGGGAAGACCAGAGACCAGGGAGCGAGAGTGCATGCTACGCAGGCGAGGCAAGGAGGGGTGACCAAGGCGGTGGTGCCA